GGGCTGAGCAGACTGGACCTCTTTGGGCAGGGGAGGGCAAGGAGCAGTACCTGGAAGAAAAGCAAATAAGGCATACAGGAGCTCTGTTGTAGGAGAAGATGTTCTTGTTATTAGTGAGATTAGTACTGGTAATAATTGAGTGTGTCTGGGTCAGCTCAGAGAGAGACCAGGAAGAGAGACCAGGAAGTACTCTGCGCAGTCCTTTCTCACTGCAGTTTGTCTGGAGAAGTCAACCCCAACTTGGCTGTGGTTGGAGAGAATAAGTTAAAGATCTCCCTCCCTTTTCTCTCCTACTCCTTGAGAATTTCAAGAGAAGGAGAACCTTACAAAATGTCCATTACCCCCATCATTTCATCTGCTCTCTCCAGTTTACTAAGATGCTCTTTCTTCCAGCATTCCACTTTCCCAGAGAGCCCTTCTTACGAAGGAGCCTAATTAGACAAGCAGTCGCCCAACCACATCCCTATGAATTCTGTCTCTGACCCTGGAGGGGACCCAGGACTCCCTTGCCAGCTCTGTATAATTCTCCTTCTAGCCTCAGTCTGTCCTCTAAGCCTTCCTTGGTCCTGGGTGCCTGGTCCCATGAGTCTTGACAACTCAGAGGCTGGGAACAGATTAGGACACGTTGAGGTGCTGCCCCATCAAATCCCAAAAGGGTTCCCAGCTTCCTGCCATCTTGTCTCCTTAAGTTTGGGAGTGATGTCAGCCTAACCCCCAGATCTTTCAAAATCAGTTAGACCCCCTTAAAAGTCCCTTTTCCTCTAACAGGGATGTTCAAGTTGCAAATCTCCAGTGATGTAAGTTCCTGCATCTACAAGGCAAAAATTTAAACAACAAAATTCCTAGTAATAAGTAGTAAAGCTTGCATTAAAGGGAGAAAGGGATGCCCAAGTTTTAAAGGGGGTATAATCTAACAACCTTGGTAGGGGTAGGGGGTCAGAGAGGCTGGGATGAGTAAGGAAGGGGGTGGGGAACTCAACCTCTAACTAACAATTTCTCCAGCATAAAAATGAAACATCAAATTCGTTAGCCCAGGGCCTTCATTTTTCCCCTTCCACATTATAACTAGTTATTGAACTCGCTGGAAGATCTAAAGGCCATTTGCGAAGAGACAAATTTCAATGGAGTTTCCCCATCAATAACCCCATGGCAGTGACCTATTGGAACAAGTCAAACACCCGAGGTGAAATGCAGGTCACTCTGTCTAACCAATATTAAAATGTGGCCACTTTTTAAAAAGCCACTTTAAACGAGATTTGAGAAAAATTGAATTCCAAGGAAGGAAAGGCGGGGGAAATCCGTGAGAGGACCTTGCCTATGGTCTCCGAACAAACAAGAGAAATTAATCTTTAATATTTTAAAGGGGGCCAAATTAACATTCCATGATTGCTTTTTTTTTTTTTTTTTGAGACTATAAGCAATTCCAGGAGGAAAAAGAGGTTGAGTATTTTCTGGTGACACATCCAGGTTATTAAAATCATTTTAGACCAATTCATTACTTTTACTGACAAGAGATTTAAGAAAAAATCAATTAAGCATTTGCATATTCTTTTGCATACATAAGCCCTGCCTATTGGCATTAGAAAGGGATAGAAACACACATACACACATATGCACACAAAAGAAAAAAAATGGGTTTAGCTTTGCTTTGGTTGGGATTTTCAAGTTGCTGGGAGAAAGAAAAAGTAAAAATGAAATTAATTGATTGAATACCATCTGAAAGTAAATTTTTTTGAAGAAGGAGAAAGAGAAATGTTGCAATTTTTAATTCCTAAAAAACAAAACAACCCAATTAACAACAACAAAAAAAAAAAAAAAAAACCTGCACTTTGGAGATGGAGAAAAGAATGACTCTCATTTTCCTTCCCTTTGCCCTCCAAATCCTGAATTGGTTCTCCCATTTCTTTTTCTCCCTAGGAAAATCCAGGGAGTCTGAGAGGTGAGGTTTAATACAGCACAGAATCTGTGGAGCTGCTAAAGTCTCTCAGCCGGCAGCTTGTTACTGGGGAGGGGAGGAATATGGGTTATCCAACGGTCAGTATGGTAATCCGGGCACAATAAGGCCTTGCACACAATGGACACATATTTTTCTTCAGCGGTGTCAGAAGGAAAGCGCTTTGTACTGAAACATGTTTCCGAAAGAGAAACCAGAACGAGATTCAGAAAGGAGATTGAGTGAGTGTGTGAGTGTGTGTGTGTGAGTGTGTTGTGTAGAGAATGTTTGGATGCTGGTCAGAAAAAATAAAAATAAAACTGGGGCAGAGCGAGATGGTGGAGGTCCTCAGGCAGGCAAGGCAGAGGCAAGAGGGTGAAGCACGAAAGACAGGACCAGATAGGATTCATCATAAGCAGAGTTCCTTTAGTAACCTCTGTCCCAGTTAAGCTAATGCTAAGTGCAGGAGCCCTGCCTGAAAATGTTTTATTTCTGTATTCATAAAAATATACAGGTGAAAATGTTTGTATGTGTGTATGGGGTGAGGTATTGCTTGCTACTTATCCATGTGATAGGCGACTTCCTGACTAGTAATCTATAAAGAATCCCCAAAGAGTTTTTGTAAATGATGTAGATGAGTGTGGGCACATTTGGGGTAATATCCCAGATCTCACTTTCTGGATGCGCATGCTGGAATGCGAACTCCACATATTTATGATTGTATAAGGAGGCATTTAATATTATTAATAAATATTAATAGCATATATGCATCTATATTTGTGTTAACCATAATAACTAGAGACAGACGTGACAGTCAATTGGAGTGTCCCTCTGAGTCTGCTCACACATACTGGTAGGAAGTGGGTTTTCTGCTCCTGTGCCCTCAACCCATCTGCAAGAGCTCAGAAACCAGGTGTGAGGGGATATACAAGGGCAGGGAGCTGGGACAGACACCCTAACAAGCCCAAGAGAGTGAGGAGATGGAAGAAAAGAGGATTGAGGCAGGGGCAGGGTTGGCAGAAGGTGAGTGTGAGGTCTGGGAGGAGAAAAGCCAGGCTAAGAGCTCACCTGTCCAGGTGGGGAAGAGACTATTACAGGCTGGGATGGGGTGGGTCAGCCAGCATCCAGGTGTAGGCCCAGAAGGGTGATTGGGGGTGGGGTAGGAAGGCTTCTCCCCCTTCATCAATCCTCCCTCTACCTTACCTGAGCTCTATTGGAGGATGGCCCTCCCCATGGAGCTGATGTTCGGACTATTTAGGCAATTCAATTCAGGATTCAGCACTGGCTTTTCTTTGCCCTCTTCCAGAAAGTTATAATTAACCCACACCCACCACCAGTATTTACCAAAAACAAACAAACAAAAACCACCCTCACACAACAACTCCAAATAGCCTCTGTCTCCACACTCACAGTCTCAATTTCCTCTTCCATCTAAACCCCAGCGGTCTTCCCACGAAGAGGTGCCCGACGGAAGTGGGCAGGGATTCTCAACCAACTTGGGAAATTTAGGAGTCTCCCCTGAAAGATGGCTCCAGGGAACGCCAGTTCCCTCACCCAGGCTGTGGCAGTGGGGGCGGGGCGCTGTCCTCTTGGGAAGAGGGTAGCCAGTGACCCCCAAGCACTGGTTCCTCCCAAGCTGAGCACCCCTTGGAGAGCGTGCGGTGGGGGTGGGGGCCTGAATCTTAGGAGGAGGGAAGGCAGCGAGGGGCCCTAGTGAAGAATCGGCCCCTTTTGGCATCGCCTTTGGCCCCGCTTTTCTCCCATTCAGTCCTCAGGGCAAGCACTAATTTGGAAGTGGGTACCCTTTCCCACAACCCAAAGCTGGCCAGAGAAAGGCTGGGAGTCTCCCGCCTTCAGTCACTCACTCCCACATGGGCTTTATTATTATTATTTTTTCCCTTTCCCCTCCTCATTCCCTTAATTGCAGATGTTCTAATTAAACCCTCAAATAGTTATGCCGTTTTAAAAGGTACTTATTCAAGTGTCAACCAGGCTGGGCTGGGAGGAGGCAGCGTAGGGCGGCGAATTAAAGGTAGATTGACTAATCACGGCGGCGATCATAATAATAAAATCAGAGGGAAAAAAATCACATTACGACTTTTCGTGGAAAGGAGGAAGCAGGCAGCCAGCGGCCGCCAGTCCTGCGCCGCCGCCGACACAAAGAGTGCGGGCGATTCCGCGAGACTGATTTATGACGTTTTACAGCCCTATAAAAGCTGTAGCGACGAGGCAAGCGCTCCTACCACCGCTGGCAGATTTAGTCTAATAAATAAAACATAAACAGTTAACTTTATGTGTCACTTTTATTGTTATCAAGTAAAATATAGCCGAGCCCCGGCAAGCTATGATTTTAAACTATAATTGTTATCAAGTACAACAAGGGGACTCGGCTTCCTCCCTGGGCTCTCCCCTCCAACCCCCCCAACTTTGAGTTATGGAAGATCAGTTAATTGGAAATGGTGGCATGACGTGGCCACCCCTAGCCAGGCAGAGAGTTTGGGGAGCAGTCCTTCCTTTGCCCCCCACCCTCCTCCATCGTCTTGCCACCCCCCCATCAAGTATTTCTGGGGATGTGTGGCAGGAAGAGGGGAGGGGAGGAATCAACTAGAGACCCAAAAGGCCTGTTCTGCTCCTCAGCTTGGTGATCTCACCCCTCAGCTTTTGGAAGGCAGCCTGGAGCTGGCCCTTGGGGATGCATGTTTACATGTAAACACACGTGTTACATGGATACAGCTCCTGGCCGGAAACAGCCTCTGTGCACTCAGGCCTCCTTCCTAGCCAGGTCTGCAATCTGTAGGGATGGTGAAAGAAGAGCTCTCAGGGCCTTGGCTGGGCACTGTCGCAAGGGCACTGACTCCTGGCAGGAACTCCTCTCACCCAGTTCCTTAGGAGCCAGCCTTGGACGTATTTGTCAGGAAGCTTCCAGGTTGGACTGGAGATGGAGACCTAAGCCGGCAGCAGAAGACATCCTAGGCTGTCGGACTGGGGCAGGGAGGGTCAGTGGGTACTAGGGGAGAGCAAGGCTTTTGAGCTCTGCTTTTGCCAACCACTTCCTGTCTCTCTTCAGCGGGGGCTCAACCCCCAGACCTCCAGGCATGACGTCAGAATCATTTGCATCCCGCTGCCTCTACCTGTCCGGTCCAGCTGGGTCCCTGCCTCGCCGGCCCCAAGGCCAGAGGGTTGGGTGAGTGTGTATGGGGGAGGGGGCTGGACTATGGTATTCTTGGATAGGAGGGCACCCTAGGCTTTCCAGCTTCTTGGCTCAGCCTGAGCCCCTCCCCATCCAACCTCCACTCCAGTCCTCATACAACTTCCTCTTCCTGCGAAAGAGGGGCGCTGCTGGGTGACCTACACAGAGACAAGATCGCCATGAAGGGAGACCTTTGGAAAAGCTCAGAAGCCAAGGCCCACAAGGCCCACCAGAGGCCGGAAGGGAGACCACGAGCGGGGGCTGAATCACGGCCTCTTGACAGCCCCCCAAAAGCCCAGGCTTTGGAAGGCAGCTGGGAGCTTCCCACCCCGTTCTTCAGGGGAGGGCTGTCAGTCTGGCGGGGTGTGCATTGGGGGCACCCCAGCCCCTGCCAGCTTACCCCACATCACCTCCCCAATACCACCACCACCACAAAAAAAAAAAAAAAAAAAAAAAATTGGATACATTTTGAATAAAGCGATTCGGTTCCTTATCCGGGGACTGGGTTGCTCCGTGTGATTGGCCGGCGGAGTCACATGGTGAAAGTAACTTTACAGGGTCGCTAGCTAGTAGGAGGGCTTTATGGAGCAGAAAAACGACAAAGCGAGAAAAATTATTTTCCACTCCAGAAATTAATGATCATGAGCTCGTATTTGATGGACTCTAACTACATCGATCCGAAATTTCCTCCATGCGAAGAATATTCGCAAAATAGCTACATCCCTGAACACAGTCCGGAATATTACGGCCGGACCAGGGAATCGGGATTCCAGCATCACCACCAGGAGCTGTACCCACCACCGCCTCCGCGCCCTAGCTACCCTGAGCGCCAGTATAGCTGCACCAGTCTCCAGGGGCCGGGCAATTCGCGAGGCCACGGGCCGGCCCAGGCGGGCCACCACCACCCTGAGAAATCGCAGCCGCTCTGCGAGCCGGCGCCTCTCTCAGGCGCCTCCGCCTCCCCGTCCCCAGCCCCGCCAGCCTGCAGCCAGCCAGCCCCCGACCATCCCTCCAGCGCCGCCAGCAAGCAACCCATAGTCTACCCATGGATGAAAAAAATCCACGTTAGCACGGGTAGGCAACTTTGCTTTTTGCTCTCCCCCTCCCTCCCCTGTCCCCAGCACTCCCCACCCTCCTCGGCCCCCTCCGGCCCCCGTCCTCCTTTCTCTCCTTCCCCCTCTCTCTCCAGGAGCGACTCTGGGTTAGCACAATTGAACTGGATTTACGAGCGAGAATGGGTAATTACATCCCCCATAAATTTTATGGCTTAGCTACTCTGGGCAGTCCGAGCCATGTGCTACGATCTGTTATGTATGTGTGAAAACTATGCTCGCTTTCTAAGGGCGCATAAATAATTCAGTGTCGTTACAATGAGGATTCCCCTCTTATTACACTACAAAGTCTCCAGCTTCCTTCAACTTCTTTATAACCCATTTAGCTTGATGACTTTATTTCCACCACCCCCTTTTCCTGCTTCACAGAGCTGAGGATGGGGTGAGGGTGGGGGGCGGGGAGCCTGCTGCCTCTGAACCCCACTATTTGCTTTCCCCCTCCCCCTCATCCCCAGTGAACCCCAATTATAACGGAGGGGAGCCCAAGCGCTCGAGGACAGCCTACACCCGGCAGCAAGTCCTGGAATTAGAGAAAGAGTTTCATTACAACCGCTACCTGACCCGAAGGAGAAGGATCGAGATCGCCCACTCGCTGTGCCTCTCTGAGAGGCAGATCAAAATCTGGTTCCAAAACCGTCGCATGAAATGGAAGAAGGACCACCGACTCCCCAACACCAAAGTCAGGTCAGCGCCCCCGGCCGGCGCTGCGCCCAGCACCCTCTCTGCAGCCACCTCGGGCACTTCTGAAGACCACTCCCAGAGCGCCACGCCGCCGGAGCAGCAACGGGCAGAGGACATTACCAGGTTATAAAACATAACTCACACCCCTGCCCCCACCCTGGGCCCCGACCCTACCCTCACACACAAATTGACTCTTATTTATAGAATTTAATATATATATATTTTTGGGTTCTTTTCTCTCCCTCCCTTCCACCTTGTAACTTGTCAATTCCAAACAGACAAAACAGATAAACGAACAAGCCCCCTGCCCTTCCTTCCCTTCCACTGTTAAGGACCCTTTTAAGCATGTGATGTTGTCTTAGCATGGTACCTGCTGGGCTTTTTTTTTTTTTTTTTTTTAAGGCCATTTTGGGGGGTTATTTATTTTTTAAGGAAAAAAAAAGCTGCAAAAATTATATATTGCAAGGTGCGATGGTCTGGTTTGGGTGAATTTCAGGGGAAATGAGGAAAAGAAAAAAGGAAAGAGAGAGGTTTTTAAGCCAATTCTCATCCTTCTTCTCTTCCTCCTCCTCCTCCTTCCCCCCTCTTTCCTTAGGCCTTTTGCATTGAAAATGCACCAGAGGAGGTTAGTGAGGGGGAAGTCATTTTAAGGAGAACAAAGCTATGAAGTTCTTTTGTATCATTGTTGGGGGGGGGAGGAGAGGGGGGAAGACAACAGACAAAGCTAAATGCATCTGGAGAGCCTCTCAGGAGCTGTTCAGTTTGAGGAGCCAAAAGAAAATAAAAATGAACTTTCAGTTCAGAGAGGCAGTCTATGGGTAGAGTTCTTCCCCACCCCCACCCCATCGTGGTTATTGTGTTTTTGGACTGAATTTACTTGATTATTGTAAAACTTGCAATAAAGAATTTTAGTGTTGATGTGAAATGCCCCGTGATCAATAATAAACCAGTGGATGTGAATTAGTTTTACGTCAATGTCTGATGGTTTCTTTTTATCCCCCTTCTCCTGGCCTGGTAACATCCTACCTTCTCTATAGTTGCCTAAGTTTACTCTAAGCAAACACACAAATCTTAACTTTCAGCTGCAGTTTTCCAATGTGTTTAGAAGAACCAGTGAGGGGGGTGGGGTAGGGGACCCTCCGAAGAGGGGACAAGGAAGATTAGGGTTGATTTCTCCTGAGAGTCTACAGAGACTCTCCTGGGGATACTTAAAAGAGTGGGGCTGTGGGGGAGCATTTCTGTAGTTAGGTACAATCCATTCTTTTTGTCTGTTTCTCCTCCCTTCTCCCTTCCTTTTGCTGAGCAGGCTTGCCTAATTTCTAGACAAGAAGGCAAGTTGAAGGAGTGGAAGGGAGAACAGTTTTGATCATTCAGGGCTTTTAGGGGATGAAGGATAAAAGGAGATACCCCATCGACATGCAAGGTCTCCTTAAAAGAAGAAAACAGTTTTGAGCTGGTGATTCTGAAGCAGCAAAGTGACCTGTCAGGATGGCTTCTCTGTTTGTTTAGACTTGGAGAGAAGGGTGAAGTGGAGGCCAGAGGCCTGAGAGGCCCCCTTGCACGCATAGGCCTCAAAGCCTGATGCTGGGAGATAACGTAGCACTTCTATTTTCCCCTAACTTTTATCTTGGACCTGCCAGGTGTTGAGAAGAGACTTGGGGAGAGGCTAGGACTATACTTATCATCCTGACCTCATCCCCTGACCTCCAAGGTCTTAGCAAGTCTTAGAGATAG